GCATGGTATTATCACCAACTGGGATGATATGGAGAAGATCTGGCACCACACCTTCTACAATGAGCTGCGTGTGGCCCCCGAGGAACATCCCACCCTGCTCACTGAAGCTCCTCTTAACCCCAAGGCCAACAGAGAGAAGATGACACAGGTAAACTCGCTTAAACATCCTCAAACAGTGCACATTCGCATGACTTTACAAACTCTACAAAAGACTGTTCACCTAGAAAATGAAAATGCGGTGTAATCATTTCCTCACCTTGTTATTGCAAATATTACAAATACACAAAACATTTATTCTGCTAACTGGACTATAAGGCTATATAAATATAAAGATATTATAGACATTAACATAATTTTCTGTAAAGCTGCTTTATAAATACATTTGACTTCACAAATGTCTGGCATGCATTCATTTGCAGATCATGTTTGAGACCTTCAACGTTCCCGCCATGTACGTGGCCATTCAGGCTGTGCTGTCACTGTATGCTTCTGGCCGTACCACTGGTGAGTGTGGTATTTGTGAATGCATGCATGAAAATACTTAATTTCTTGTTGGTTTCTCTGGAGCCTTAAAGATTTTTGTTGTTTGTAGGTATTGTACTGGACTCCGGAGATGGTGTGACCCACAATGTGCCCATCTATGAAGGTTATGCCCTGCCCCACGCCATCATGCGTCTGGATCTGGCTGGCCGTGATCTTACTGACTACCTGATGAAGATCCTGACTGAGCGTGGCTACTCTTTTGTGACCACAGGTATGAATAAGCTAAGCTGTATCATTATTAGAGTTATCAAACAGGTATTATAATAATATATTGTGTTAAAGGGGTCCTATTATGCTCTTTTACAAAGTCTGGATTTTGTTTTGGGGGTGTACTAGAACAGGCTCTCATACTAGATTGTTCAAAAACACATAATTTTTCTCATATTTTACATTATTACAGCACCTCTCTCCCCAGTCTGGCATGAACGGCTCGAATAGTTCCTGTATCAAATGAAGGCCCACCTTCTGAAATACGAAATGTGCTGTGATTGGTCAGCTGGTCCAGTGTGTGTTGTGATTGGCAGCACTCTGCGCCTGGTTGGGAAATGTCATGCCCCTTACCATAGCCGCCTGCGAGCTTCAGTGTAAATATTGCGTTTTGAGTAAATTTGAGTGCGATTTAAACCCGGATGATTGTAACCACTCTAAGTTCGTCTGCCTTGGGAAAGCTAGCGTGTCTCCGACATAGTGATAACACTCGTTGCTCAACCAGGTCTCGTCCCATTCGTCGATATTTGTGATATCACAAATCCCGGAAAATATGCGTTGTAGTCCAAACGAGTCATTCGTTGTAGTTTTTGTAAAATGTTAAATAAAATATCTTGTTTTGAATTGGACTTTGAGCTATGTAACTTTGCAGATCTTTTTTATGCTCAAACAGCAACATTACAGACTAACTAAAGTTGAAAAAGTGAAAAAGCATAATAGGACCCCTTTAACACTGGAATCACATTCTCACAGCTGAGCGTGAGATTGTTCGTGACATCAAGGAGAAGCTGTGCTACGTCGCTTTGGATTTTGAGAATGAAATGGCCACTGCTGCTTCCTCCTCTTCTCTGGAAAAGTCTTACGAGTTGCCCGATGGCCAGGTCATCACTATAGGAAATGAGCGTTTCCGTTGCCCAGAGACTCTCTTCCAGCCTTCCTTCATTGGTGGGTGATATCATATTAATTCTACCACTAAAAAAAAAGAAAGAAAAAAAAAATTATATCGCTGCATATTGTTTAAACCTGGTCTAAACTGGTTCAGAATTATTTTAGTATTACTTATATATTATTATCTATTTATTAATATTTTTATTTAGCTTTGATTTTTATATTTTCAGTTTTTCCATATAATATTTCTATTTTATTATAGCTTTATTTTAATCAACCAAACATGATTTTACATTGTTTTATTTTTTTATGTGCTCTTTATTTAAAAAAATGTTTGTGTAATATTTCTATTTAACTTTATTTGATTTCGGTTTTAGTCAGCCATTTTAGTACTTCTTCAACTTATTTTGTTGCCAAGGCAACATTTCTGTTGAAGTTTTTCATCTAATACTTATATTTTATAATATAAGTTTTCATTTGACCAATAACATCAGCTTTATTTTAACAAAAAAAAAATTATAGTTTTAGTTTTTGTCATTTGTATTACTTTCATAATACTATGTAACTGTATTTTTATTTTAGTTTTAGTAATTTTAGTTCTTAATTTATTTCAGTTAGTTACCAAGGCAACATTTTTAATTTTCATATATTCACATCTAATATTTAAATTTCATTTTATTTCGACTTAAATAAATAAATAAAACATCATAGCTTTAGATTTAGTTAACAATAACAACGCTGCTTTTTTCTTACCTAAGGTATGGAGTCTGCTGGTATCCATGAGACCACCTACAACAGCATCATGAAGTGTGACATTGACATCCGTAAGGACTTGTATGCCAACAACGTCTTGTCTGGTGGCACCACGATGTACCCAGGTATTGCTGATCGAATGCAGAAGGAGATCACTGCTCTGGCCCCCAGCACCATGAAGATCAAGGTAGAATATTTATTTAGTCATTCAGATATTCTGTCTTCTTTTAAGTTTAATTCACCTAAGTGAGATGTTTGATTTGTAATCATCACATGTCTTCTTTCTGACAGATCATCGCTCCCCCTGAGCGTAAGTACTCCGTCTGGATCGGTGGCTCCATCCTGGCTTCCCTGTCCACCTTCCAGCAAATGTGGATCAGCAAGCAGGAATACGATGAGGCTGGCCCATCCATCGTCCACAGGAAGTGCTTCTAAGTGCCAGGATACACCACACAACATTAATTCTAACAGAAATTCTCAACATTACCTCCGCCTGTTGTGCATGCAGGCAGATTTTGCCTTTATTTTTCCTTGTACAGTATGTTTACACCAAAGTGCAATTTGTTTGTAGTTATTTACTGGATCATACGTAAATTTGTATGTGGATATTTATTGGTTTTTAAATAAACAAGACCAGGGAATTTATATTATTTTAATTAGTCTTTAATTAATCTTTGTCATTTACTCCAAAAAATTTAACACTTTGTTCATTAATACAGTGAATACAGGACTGCATAAAAGCCATCCGTGATGGATTCATAGTTGCAACTTCAATTAGCACCCAGTATAAAAATAGCTGTGGCTCTGTAGGAGGCGAAGGGAGATCAGAGGAGAACGCAGCTTATTGTCAAGATGCCCTCTTCAGGCTTATGAGGATTTTATTTTTTGTCTTACCTATACTATAAATATGTGCAAACATTGCCTTGAGTTTTACAGCTTCAGTTATCAGTTGGATTCTAGCAGGGATATCCCATATTTTATCTCTCCATCCTAGAGAGAAGTCCTAAAGCGATTACTCACCAGTGTAAGGTCACCACAGGCCTTACCACAAATAGGCCTACCTCTTCATCACCTGCGGGAGAGTGCAAGTGAGGGTTAAGGGACTGTGCTTGATTTGAAGAGTTCAGATTAACCAACTCAATCAACTGTTTACAAAAGAAATTTGACTCGTGTAGAATCTTTCATGTTTTTTGCAGAACGGAAAATGTAGTGTAATTTTCACATATAAACAGTGTTTGCAAAAAATACAATGGATTTCAGGGCGGTCGATTATTTTAAAGGAATTGCAAAGTAAAATTGATTTAAAGTTAAAGTATATAAGGTGATTTTCGGGGAACTATTGCTTGAGGTTAATTGCGTGCAACAATTAGTCAGGTTAGACGCCATATTTAATTGTATAAAGGTGCTATCTCAATTTTTCTGAACTCAGCTTTCAAAACAGTTTTGTGGTTTTGTCTATTGAAAGGTGACATATTTTTACAAAGTTTTGTTTCTGTTGTCAGATAACGCGATTGATTAGGACTATATTACGGTGACCGAGAAGTGCAAAACGAATCACAATTCTGAAAACAAAATATCAAATTACAAACGCAAATGCAAGTCTAAAAAACAAAATAACAATTCAGAAAACACAACAACAATTCAGAAAACATTATAGCAAGTCAGAAAACACAATGACAAATTCGAAAACAAAATAACAAGTCAGAAAACACAACGACAAATCCGAAAACAGATTAAATCAGAACACAAACTTTTTTTCTCCCTTTTCAAATCTCGTATCACATTGTAAAGGCATTTATTTTCAATAAAAATTAAGGAAATAATCAAAAAGTTGAAAATAAAGTATCGGGTAGGGTTAGGGTAGGTGTAGGGAGGGCTTTATTGTACCAATAAGGTGGCATCCCTTTAATAATTTAAATTAGCATTATCATTTACACTCCATACGTTATTATTGCATACTGTTTTAGAATGTACTACAATACTGAAGTGCAGATAATTGCCACTATTTGCAACAAGTAACGTTAGGATACTTTGTAACCATACAAATAAGTTAAGGACGTCAGCTTTGTGAAAACGTTACAAACGACAATCTGCCTTATTTTGTTTTGTTTGCGAATCACCAAAATATACATCGCCATAATAGCTCCTTGTCGCGAAACATTAATAAAAGTCGCAGCAACAATAATAAAGTTCCTAAATTTGGTAACAAAATCCGCAAATTGTCAACAGTGATTGGTCGCGATGGAAAGCGGCATGCGGGATACTGGTGCTATGGTGACCTGGTTAGCAAACTCTACTTTATGTTCGTCAGCGTTTGGGCGGCCGTTGAAAATACGCGCTCTGGCTATAGCTTGTAATCTAAATCATTAGTAAGGCGTTGGAAAGCCCGTCTGAAACCTGGATTTACCTTTTGGCTTTCTTTGCCGGGGTTCAAGCCTTAATTACCCCCCATGATCCGCGCCCTGTTTATTATCGTGAGCGCACACGAACACGAACTCTAAGCTCTAAGCTCCCATCCTATCAAGCGGGTGTGTGTGTGTGTGTCGCGGGAGACAGACCTCCCCAGTGATTTGAGTTTATCACCAATGATTTTATTACGGATTAATCAGGGCATCTCTGGCATATTCGGAGAATAATGAAACGGAGAGATCCTGCTGTTCTGGTTCCTCTCCAACAACCTGTCTGCGCGTGACGCAGGGGGAGGAGGAGGGGGCAGTCTACTTAAAGCGGGATTAGCACGAGCCAAACATTATACTCCCCTCCGTTTAGGCTCAGAGCGACCTGTCGTCCTGCTGGCGAGACAGAAAACAGGGGGACTTTAGATTAATCGGGACCTAGGACGAGCGCGCACTCCGGAGCGACAAGGTGGACAGCAGCGACTAATCAATGCATTCGCCCGATACTACACTCGCCTTCGGAGCGGAACAGTAGCTCGCATTTGATTTCACACGGTCCACTGTGTTACATCGGCTCCGAATGAACAGCCATGGGGGAATGGACCATTCTCGAGCGTCTCCTGGAGGCGGCTGTCCAGCAGCATTCTACTATGATCGGGAGGTGAGGGGAAAAAGTGCAACATGTTTATTGATTGCTTTGCACATTAAAAGAAAAATACTGAGGTCATTACACAGTGACCCTTCTAAATGAGGGCGATTGGCTATTGGAGCTTGATGTGCCCATTGTAAAGGACAGGAAGGTGTTCGAAGAATTACGATAATGCTTTTGATGTTATTGTTGTTACAGTTATTACAGCACATTTTGGACAACAAAGATTTTGTGCCATCGGTAAGACTGCTGTTCCATGTCAGATCTGATTTGCTTTCAAAGAAATGTTGTGCGTGCCCTGCTTGGCTGGAAGCGCGCGTTTGCCTGCGGAGAGAGTTTCAGCACTGGACAGCTCCCCTCGTCAATCTGCACAGTCAAAAGAACAGAAAACCGTGCAGTTAAAACCTGTTAGTTGGTTAACTGTAAATTACCATATCATATACAATAAAAAACAAAGTTAGATTTAACAGACACTGCATGTAATTTTACCATCAAAAAATCTATAGTGATGTTTTTGAAAGTAAAAAGTATAAATTACCATAAAAAAACAGTGAATTTGTTATATTCTACACTTTAGTAAATTAAAAGTCAATTTATAATTTACGGTGGAAAACAGTAAAAGGACGTTCACATATGTATAAGTCCTAACGTGACACATCACAGTTCAATAAAATACTGATGTTTCTTTTTTTTCTAATCAGTCATGTACATTCAAAGAGTATTTTATGTAATTTAGTTAATGTATATAGCATTGTTCTATCGCCATGTGTGTTACTACCTTAATATTGTTTTGTGAGATGTATATGAACACTGTATGCTGAACGCATTTATATACTGTGGATTTATTGGCTATTTTTGCAGAAGTTTCACATTTGATGAAATTGAATTCATCATGTGGTCTTGTGTTTAACAATTTGTATCAGTATATGCAAAACAACAAATCTTATAGTACATTGTAGTTATTGGAATATTAATATTGCCAGATGATAGTATCAATAGATAGTATGAGTACATCATTAGAATATTAAGATTATATCAGTTCATGAAATATATACAGTTATGATGTGCAAAATATGTGCTATTTTGTGCAGTGAATTTCTAGCAAAACCACATTTTCAGGAATTGTCTCTTTAATTGTAATGTTTTTTAATTTATTTATTAATTAATTAATTAATTGTGTGTGTGTGTGGGGGGGGGTGTATATATATATATGTATATGGTGCAAAAAAGTGCAGAATTTGAACCCTTTTAAAATTAAGTGTTGTCACAGTGAATTTCTAGCAACCACAAATGGCCATTTTTAACAGTAAATTTGTTTATTTGTTAGCCATTTTGTATTGCAATTTTTAAGTGTTTTGTATTCCTTTTATTGCTTTGACTTAACATTTTTGTGAATACCGGAGCAGATACACTATGAACTAAAATATTTCTGTCTTTATGTTTAGGATCCTACTGACAGTGGTGGTGATCTTCCGGATTCTAATCGTTGCAATTGTAGGAGAGACCGTGTATGATGATGAGCAGTCAATGTTCGTATGTAACACTTTACAGCCGGGCTGTAACCAAGCTTGCTATGACAAAGCGTTCCCTATATCTCACATCAGATACTGGGTGTTCCAGATCATCATGGTTTGCACACCCAGTCTTTGCTTCATCACATACTCTGTGCATCAGTCTGCCAAACAGAAGGAGCGGAGATATTCCATGGTCTACCTGTCCCTCGACAAAGATCCTGATTCAATGAAACGAGACGACAGCAAAAGGTTCAGGAGCACCATTGTGAACGGAGTACTTCAGAACACGGAAAACTCCACCAAAGAATCTGAGCCCGACTGTTTGGAAGTGAAAGAGATCCCCAGTTCAGCCATGAGAACTGCCAAATCTAAAATGAGAAGGCAAGAGGGCATCTCAAGGTTTTACATCATTCAGGTGGTTTTCAGGAACGCGCTGGAGATCGGCTTCTTGGTGGGGCAGTACTTCCTGTACGGATTCAACGTTCCCGCCGTGTATGAGTGCGATCGCTACCCTTGCATCAAAGACGTCGAATGCTACGTTTCGAGACCCACTGAGAAAACTGTGTTCCTCGTCTTCATGTTTGCGGTCAGTGGGATTTGCGTGGTGCTCAACCTTGCAGAACTCAATCATCTGGGCTGGAGGAAAATTAAAACGGCGGTGAGGGGGGTTCAGGCCAGGAGAAAGTCCATATACGAGATCAGAAACAAGGACTTACCGCGGATGAGCATGCCGAATTTCGGCCGCACCCAGTCGAGTGACTCAGCCTATGTCTAATGTTCCTTCATGTGGTTCATCAAAGCAGAGGTGCTCAATCCTGGTCCAGGAAGACCTCAGGTTGCACATTTTAGATGAATCACCCATTTTAAGTCTTGGAGCCTCTATTCTAAATGAATAGTTCACTCAAAAATGACAATTCTGCCATCATTTACTCAACCTGTGTCGAGTCATTCCAAATGTCGTTCCAAATCTGTATGACTTTCTTCTGTTGACCACAAAAGAAGATATTTTGAAGAACGTTTTGGTCCATGCAATGAAAGTCAATGGGGTCCAAGACAACACTGAACCCCATTGACCATACTGAGAAAAGTGCCAAGATGACTCTTCAGCAGAGAGGAGGGGGAGGGAAATCTAGGCACAAACATCCTGACAGATCAATTTGGAATTCAGCAGGGACCTGAGATTCCTCTTTGACACAACACAAACAGCAAAGGTCCAACCTGACAGGACATCAGTGGAGGCTGTTGTTGTGTGAGTGTGTGTGTGTGTTGTACAATTTCAGTCTGTCCGCTCTTACCCTCCCTCTTTCATTATTTCCTTCTACTTTCTCCAAAAGTCCTAAAAAAGTCCTCCATAATTTGTTCTCCAATGCATTTAAAAGAAATCAGTTCTGGCGTATGGCAGAATTATGGCATAAATACAAGAAAGAGGGAACTTTGCTGAGCTATTATTAACATTAATTAACACACACACACACATATATATATATATATATATATAAGAGAACCTTAAAGGTATATGAGCACTTAAGTCACATTTAAAAATCAGATGGCATCATCAGATGCCAAAATATCAAAGCAAGTGGAATCTAATATTAAAAAAATAGTACAAGCAAATATTTCACAAAAAAAAAGATAAAACTATGTTAATATAATATAAATTATTAAAGAGGGAACTTTGCTGAGCTATTATTAACATTAATTAACACACACATATATATATATATATATATATATTTATTTGTTTTATATATAAGAGAACCTTAAAGGTATATGAGCACTTAAGTCACATTTAAAAATCAGATGGCATCATCAGATGCCAAAATATCAAAGCAAGTGGAATCTAATATTAAAAAAATAGTACAAGCAAATATTTCACAAAAAAAAGATAAAACTATGTTAATATAATATAAATTATTAGAATATACAGTGGGGAAAAAAAGTATTTAGTCAGCCACCAATTGTGCAAGTTCTCCCACTTAAAAAGATGAGAGAGGCCTGTAATTTTCATCATAGGTATACCTCAACTATGAGAGACAAAA